GAACAAGATTTCTCTTTCTCTCTCTCTCTCTCTCTCTCTCTCTCTCTCTCTCTCTCTCTCTCTCTCTCTCCTCTCTCTCTCTCTCTCTCTCTCTCTCTCTCTCTCTCTCTCTCTCTCTCTCTCTCTCTCTCTCTCTTCTCTTCTCTCTCTCTCTCTCTCTCTCTCTCTCCTCCTCCTCTCTCTCTCTCTCTCTCTCTCTCTCTCTCTCTCTCTCTCTCTCTCTCTCTCTCTCTCTCTCTCTCTCTCCTCTCTCTCTCTCTCTCTCTCTCTCTCTCTCTCTCTCTCTCTCTCTTCTCTCTCTCTCTCTCTCTCTCTCTCTCTCTCTCTCTCTCTCTCTCTCTCTCTCTCTCTCTCTCTCTCTCTCTCTCTCTCTCTCTCTCTCTCTCTCTCTCTCTCTCTCTCTGCCTCTCTCTCTCAAACACAAGTACAGTGGGATCTTGAATGTCCGGGCCTCAATACCTGATGCTTGTGCCAGACAATCACAGAAAACACCTGTACACTTGGGATGGGGGGGGGGTAGGAGAAGAGCCAAGGGAGGGGAGAGGAGGTGAGATACTGTGCCAGGTGACAGCATGCTATGTTTACGAGTTGTTCGATCGCTTTTGTGTGTGTGTGTGTGTGTGTATGTGTGTGTTGGCGTGTGTGTGTGTGTGTGTGTGTGTGTGTGTATGTTGGTGTGTGTGTGTGTGTGTGTGTGTGTGTGTGTGTGTGTGTGTGTGTGTGTGTGCATGTTGATGTGTCTATAAATGTCTAGGTGTGTTTGCACTAGTATGTATGTGTAGTTATGTATATATATATGCGTATGAGTGCAGAGCCTCTGCATATGTGGCTGTGTACTTATATGTTTGCGTGTATTTGAGAATATATACATGCGTATTACTACATGTGTTCTTGCGTGTCTGAGTGTAAGTGTATATATTAGGGTGTATGCATCTATGTATATCGAAACTACACACACGCACACACACTCACATATGCATACATATATAGATAGATAGATACAGGTATAGATATAGGTAAAACATAGATATTGATGTAGATTTAGATAAAGACTTGCATATATGAATAGTTTTGATATAGATATAGGTAAAAATATAGGTATAAATATAAATATACAGGTATAGATATGAATATGAAAATAGATATAGATACAGACATAAGTACAGACATAGGTAAGGATAGAGATAAAGACATAAATGTAGATGTAGATATAGAAATAGATGTAGATAAAATATAAACATAGATATAAATGTAGATCTAGATAGAAATGTAGATATAGATACAGATGCAGATAAAGACATACTGGAGATATAGATGTAGACATAAATATAGATACAGATAAAGGTATAGATATATACAGAGATAAAGATAGCTGTGTGTATATATATATATACATATATATATATATATATATATATATATATATATATATATATATATATATATACAAAGACAAAAATATAGGTATAGCAGAAGATACAGTTATAGATGAAGGTATATATATAGATATAGATATAGATGAAAATATAGATGCAGATATGGATATAGTTATTGATAGAGAAATAGATATATTCAAAAGTGTCAAAAGAAAAGGAAAAGATCCATTTATCAAGGATCTAAGTAATCAATTTGGAAGAAAAAAAAGATTTTGAAGAAAAAATGTAGTAATTGGTAAAAAAGTAGAAGAAAAGAAAAGAAAAAGTACTATAAGGGATTATAATGACTTCCTTCTAACTTTTTATTTCATCATCAATTCTTCGTCTCTCTTTCAATTTTTTTTCTTTCCCTCTCCTGCTTCTTATTACCCCCCCCCCCCTTTTTTTCTCCTTTTTTCCCTCTTCTTCCTTTCTAGTGTTCTATTTTTTTGTATCAGCTTCTATCTCTTCTCTCTCTCCCTCTTTCTCTCTCTCTCACTCTCCCTCTCTCTCTCTCTCTCTCTCTCTCTCTCTCTCTCTCTCTCTCTCTTTCTCTTCTCTCTTCTTCTCACAGCTCCTCCCACAACCCCTCCCACAACCCCTCCCACAACCCCTCCCACAACCCCTCCCACAGCTCCTCCCACAACTCCTCCCAAAACCCCTCCCACAACTCCTTCCAAAACCCCTCCCACAACTCCTCCCAAAACCCCTCCCACAGCTCCTCCCACAACTCCTCCCAAAACCCCTCCCACAACTCCTCCCAAAACCCCTCCCACAACTCCTCCCAAAACCCCTCCCACAGCTCCTTCCAAAACCCCTCCCACAGCTCCTCCCACAACTTCCATAAAAGCTGTTACTAAGGTTATCCTCCTACCAAGTTCGGGTTCAAACAAAAAGGAGTTAATTGAATTTTCTTCGCAGAGAGAGAGAATCTTCTTCTGTGAGAGAGAGAAAGAGAGAAGGGGAGAAGGGACGGTTGAAAGAGCGAGAGAGAGAGAGAAGGGGCGGTTGAAAGAGAGAGAGAGAGAGAGAGAGAGAGAAGGAGAGAGAGAGAGAGAGAGAGAGAGAGAAGGAGAGAGAGAGAGAGAGAGAGAGGGAGAGAGAGAGAGAAGGGGCAGGAGGAGAGGAGAGAAAGAGGGAGGGTGGGATAGGAGGGAGAGAGAAAGAGAGGAAGGGAAAGTGAGGAAGGAAGGGGAGGAAGGAGGGAAGAGGGGGAGGCAAGGTTGTGGTAGCGGGGGGAGGATGGGAGGGGAGAGATGGGGGGAGGGGAGGAAAGATTTGAGAGTGGAGAAGGGAGGATGGGAAGGGAGAGCGGGGGAGAGGGGAGAGTGGGGAAAGGGGGGGGGGATAGCAGGGGGGGGAGATAGAGATGGGGGAAGGAGAAAAAGATGGGAGAGTGGGGGGGAGGATGGGAGGGGGAGAGGGGAAGGCTGGAGAGACAGCGACGGATGAGATTAAGCTTAGTATTATCATCGGGAAAGCTGTTGTCTTTCGGAGGGGAGGGGGGGGGAGGGGGGGATATTCTCTCGTTTATCTTCCTCTTTGGAATTTTTGCTTGTTTGTTTGTGTGTTGTGCTTGTTAGGCGGTTTTCTGTGTGTGTTTGTGTGTGTGTGTGTGTGTGTGTGTGTGTTTGTGTGTGTGTGTGTGTGTGTGTGTGTGTTTGTGTGTGTGTGTGTGTGTGTGTGTGGTGTGTGTGTTTGTGTGTGTGTGTGTGTGTGTGTGTGTGTGTGTGTGTGTGTTTGTGTGTGTGTGTGTGTGTGTGTGTTTGTGTGTGTGTGTGTGTGTGTGTGTGTGTGTGTGTGTGTTTGTGTGTGTGTGTGTGTGTGTGTGTGTGTGTGTGTGTGTGTGTGTGTGTGTGTGTGTGTGTGTGTGTGTGTGTGTGTGTGTGTGTGTGTGTGTGTGTGTGTGTGTTTGTGTGTGTGTGTGTGTGTGTGTGTGTGTGTGTGTGTGTGTGTGTGTGTGTGTGTGTGTGTGTGTGTTTGTGTGTGTGTGTGTGTGTGTGTGTGTGTGTGTGTGTGTGTGTGTGTGTGTGTGTGTGTGTGTGTGTGTGTGTGTGTGTGTGTGTGTGTGTGTGGTGTGTGGTGTGTGTGTGTGTTTTTCTGTGTGTGTGTGTGTGTGTGGTGTGTTTTGTGTGTGTGTGGTGTGTTGTTGTGTGTGTGTGTGTGTGTGTGTGTGTGTGTTTGTGTGTTGTGTGTGTTTGTGTTGTGTGTGTTGGGTGTGTGTGTGTGTGTGTGTGTGTGTGTGTGTGTGTGTGTGTGGTGTGTGTGTGTTTGTGTGTGCGTGTGTGTGTGTGTTTGTGTGTGTGTGTGTGTGTGTGTGTGTGTGTATCTATTCTAATTTACGTAGGAATTTAAATGTCTCTTTTTGTCTTGCTCTCTCTCTCTGTTTTTTCTTGTTTTCTCTTTCTTCTCTTCTCAACTATTCGTCTTCATCATCATCCTTCATTCTCCCTATTCCTATTCTACTTCCCCCCCCCCCCCCTTCTTCCTCTGTCTTCTTACCCATCCCTCTCTTTCTCTTCCTTCTTCTTTCTCCTTCTTCCTCTTCCTCATTCATCACTCTCTTCGCTATCTCTCTTCTTCCCTCATTCTCCATTCCTTTTTACCCCTTTCTAATACTTTCTACCATTTCTCATTCGCAATTTTACCCTCTCCCTCTCTTCCTCCCTTTTTCTCCATCCCTTTCTCTTCCTTCGTCCACGTTTCTTCTCTTCCCCATACATATTCTTCATTCTTCATTCTTCCTCATCTTCACTCTTCATTACCCTCCCCTCCCTTTCCTCATTCTCTATTCCCCTTTTCCTTCTCTTCCTTCCTCTTTCTCATCCTTTCTCCTCTTCCTCATTCTTCATTTCCCTCCCCCTTTTATCCTTTCTCCTCCATTCCCCTCTTCCTCTTTCTCCATTCCCCTCTTCCTCTTTCTCCCTTCCTCTCCACCTCTTTTTCTTCTTCTTTTTTCCTCTATCCCTTTCTAATTCTTTCTCCCCTTCCTCATTCTCCATTCCCCTCCCTATGTCTTTATTCACTCTCCCTCTCTCTCTCTCTCTCTCTCTCTCTTCGCTTTTTCAATTCGCCTCCAAATTATCGCTTTTGATTTGACACATGCCATCTCCTAATTTCTTATTTCCCCTGTTCCTTAGTTCTCCCCCTCTCTCTCTCTTCCCTTTTCTCCTACGCCCCCTCTTTCTCCCTTTTTTCCTCATCCTACTTTATCTTTTATCTATTTTCCATCTTTCTTCTCTCATTCCTCTTCTTCCCTTTCTTTCCTTATCCTCTACGCTTCTCTCTCTCTCTCTCTCTCTCTCTCTCTCTCTCTCTTTCTTTTTCTTTATCCTCTCTAATTCTTCTCCTATCACCCCCGTTCCCCCATTCCCTTTCCCCTCTTTTCCCTTTCTTGCACTCCCTCCTTTTATCCCTATATCTCCCTTCCCCTGCCCCACCTCCTACTCCTCCCCCTACCTCCCCCTACCCCCTTTCTCCTCCTCCCCTTCTCCCTCCCCTTTCCTACTACCCAATTATCCACTACCTCCTCCCCCAACCCTCCCTACCTCCCTCCCCTAACCCTTCCCCCCACCGAACCTCCTCCCCCTACCCTCCCTTCCCCCTTCCCTCCCTTCCCCCTAGCCTCCCTCCCCCCTAGCCTCCCTCCCCCCCTACCTCCCTCCTCCCCTTCCCTCCCTTCCCCCTACCCTCCCTCCCCCCTACCTACCTCCTCCCCTACCCCCCCTTCCCCCTTCCCTCCCCTTCCCCCTAACCTCCCTCCCCCCCTACCTCCCCCCTACCTCCCTCCTCCCCTTCTTCCGCTCCCCCAACCCCCCCCCCCTTTTCACAAAATCCTGCGCGAGCATAATCAAAGGTAAAAGCTACACATATTTTAGGCACACTCACAAATTATTTGGGAGTTTAATGTCCCTTGGAATCAATTTGGGAGAGTGTGAGTGGTTCTACCTGAGGGGGAGTGTGTGTGTGAGAGAGAGACAGAGAGAGTGTATGTGTTTCTGTGTTTCTGTGTTTGTGTGTATATGGGAGAGAGAGAGAGAAAGTGTGTGTGTGTGAGAGAGAGAGACAGAGAGAGTGCGTGTGTTTCTGTGTGTGTTTGTGTGTATATGGGAGAGAGAGAGAGAGTGTGTGTGTGTGTGAGAGAGAGAGAGAGAAAGAGAGCGAGAGAGACAGACAGAGAGAGAGAGTGTGTGTGTGTCAGTGTGTGTTTGTGTGTATATGGGAGAGAGAGAGACAGACATACAGACAGACAGAGAGAGTGTGTGTGTGTCTGTGTGTGTTTGTGTGTATATGGGGGAGAGAGAGAGAGAGAGAGAGAGAGAGAGTTTGTGTGTGTGTGTGTGTGTGTGTTTGTGTGTATTGGAGAGGGAGAGTAAGAGAGAGACTGAGTGAGTGAGTGAGTCAGTGTATATGTATTCATAAGTGTATGTGTGTTTAAATTGTGAATGGGTTTTATTGTATTCCGTGTTTGTATATTGTATCTGCATATATGTACACACTAGTGATATTTGAGTATTATTTGTATGTGAGTATGCTTTAGTGTTTATTTAGAACTCACCCTGTTTTTATTTACACAGTTACATGGACAACACTATGAGAAACAAACAACGACAATAAAAATAAATCACTTTATATATATTATTCACTCTCCTTTCCTTTCTCTCTTCCTCCATCTCCCTGTTTTCCCTCTTCTTCCATTTTCCTTCTCCCTCTTTTTCTTTCATCTCCCTTTATTCCCATTCTTCTTATGCTTCCTCTTCCTCTTCTCTTTCTCTTCTTCCCCGCCCCCCCCCCCCCCGCTTTTCCTTCTTGTTTATGCATAGTCAAAACAAATTAATTTTTCCATCTCTAGGACTTCCCACACGCCCCCACACCCACACGCCCCCACACCCATACGCCCCCACACCCACACGCTCCCACCCACACCCCATACCCACAAACGCCCGTACACCCCCATAACCCCACACTCCCAAACCCCCACACCCCCACCCCCACGCCCTCTACACCCCCAAACCCCCATACTCCCACATACACCCACTCTCCCACGCCCCCACACCCCCACACTCCCACACCCCCACACCCCCGCCCCCCTCAAAGCGACCTAGGCATAACGCTAGAAGTGTCACAGCGGTATTTAGTTAATTGATTACGTACGGATATTTCGCTACGGCTCTCCGGGTTGATTTGACGGGGAGGGGGGGGGGGGCTTGAGCTTAAAGGGGGAAGGGGGCGGGGGGGGGGGGGAAGGCCTTGAGCTTAATGGGGGTTGGGGGAGGGGGAGGGGAAGGGGTGCCGAATGGGAAGAGGGGGCGGATGAAGTGAGGGGGTGGGGGAGTGGCGAAGGGGTGGAGGGGAGGGGTGATGGTGGAGGGGGGAGGGGGATGCTGGAGGAGGGGTGGTAGGGGGGTGGAGGGGGGGATCGTAGATTGTGGATTCTGTAGTTTAAGTAGATGCAGAGATGCGTACATGGAACCGCACGTACATGTATTGGTAGGTATGTACGTGTATATGCCTATTGGTAATCACGCACACATCCCTTATCCAAAATTGTTTTGTGTATGTATATATTTGTGTGTGTGTGTGCGTGTTGTGTGTGTGTATTTGTGTGTGTGTATTTGTGTGTGTGTGTGTGTGTGTGTGGCTGTGTGTATTTGTGTGTGTGTATGTCTGTGTGTGTGTCTGAGTGTGTGTGTGTGTATTTGTGTGTGTGTGTGTGCGTGTGTGTAGACTGATTGATAGTAAGATGGATAGATAGACATTTAGATGGACATACGCCTACAGATATTCAGGTAGACAGTTCCATATATGTAGATAGCTATTTAGATAAACAGACCGACTGATAGGCATATAGATAGATAGAGATGCAGACAGATAGACAGATAGATAATCTTACACACATACATAAACGCACACACACACATTCCACCCCCCACCCCCAATCCCCCCACCCCCCACTCCCCCATTTAAACCCCACAACACACACGCGTCAAGAACAGCATAGCGACCATCAAAGACAAACGGTGTGAGACAGAGACAGAGAGAGAGAAAAAAAGAATAAAATGGAATAATAAAAACACCGTCGAGTGTTTTTCATCACCACAAAAGCTGTGATATTTAACAAGCAAGGTATCGCAGGACGGTTTATGTCCACCATAAACACTTTACGTTCCTTGAGATCTGCTTCGTTAAACAGGCCGCGGTGACAACAAACACACGTTGTATGGGCGATGCTATGTATATCTGTGTACGATTTTGTCTTTGTTTGTATTGTTTTATTGGCATGATAACGAAGGTGATGACGTGTGTGATATTAGCTTGATTTATATATATGTATATATATATATATATATATATATATATATATATATATATATATATATATATATATATATATATATATATATATATTCTCTTCTCTCTCTTGTTCACTCTCTCTCTCTCTCGCTCTCTCTCTCTCTCTCTCTCTCTCTCTCTCTCTCTCTCTCTCTCTCTCTCTCTCTCTCTCTCTCTCTCTCTCTCTCTCTCTCTCTCTCTCAATCTTCTCTCTTTTCTTTTCTTTTCTTTTTCTTTTTTTTATAGTTTTATTTGTAGGACTATAAAGTTAAGTTTACGATTGCGTCATAACGTTTTTCTCGTAATTCCATAATTAAATTTATCACTAGTGCATCATTAAGAAAATTTACCACTAATCGCAAATTATAAGTAATTAACTAAACAGAGAAACAGATTGGTTGATATGCAAATAGAAAATTAAATGAAGAGTGAAAAGTAAAGATTTATATATATATAAGTATAAATGTATATATACAGATAGACTGATAGATAGATAAATATATAGATAGATAGACAGATAACAAACCTAAATAAGTAAAGAAACACGAATCAACAAACAAACAAACAAAAAATAAAATAAACGAATTGATAACTACGACGTAAATTGATAAAACAAATAAACGAATAAACAAACAAGACAAAAGAAACTGAAAGTAAAAAAAAAAAAAAAAAAAAAAAAAAAAAAAAAAAAAAAAAAAAAAAATGAAAATGAAAATGAAGAAAGAAAGAAAAAAAAAGTTTATTGAAGACCATCCCCTTACAACCGCTATCAGTAGCAAACACTGCTACATTTATTCCTTTTACGGCCTGTGTCTCCAGCAGAAGGTGTACTAGTAAATCAGGCTATCTATTTCCCTTTCTTTCTTTCTTTCTTTTCTTTTTCTCCTTTTGTTCATTTTCCCTTTCTTTCTTTCTTTCTCTCTTTCTTTCTTTCTTTCACTTTCTCTGTCTTTCTTTCTTTCTTTCTTTCTTTCTTTCTTTCTTTCTTTCTTTCACTCTCTCTTTCTTTCTTTCTTTCTCTCTTTCTTTCTTTCTCTCTATCTCTCTTTTTTTTCTTTTCTTTTCCGTTCTTTCGTTCGTTCATTTCTCCTTTGTTTCTTTCTTTCTTTCTCTCTTCCTTTCTTTCTCTCTTTTCTTTTTCATTTATTTCTCCTTTGTTTCTTTCTTTCTTTCTTTCCTTCTTCCTTCTTTAGTTAATGTCTCCTTTGTTTCTTTTTTTCTTTTTTTCTTTCTTTATTTTTTCGTTCATTTCTCCTTTGGTTTGTCTTTTTCCTTTTTTCTTTCTTTCTTTCTTTCTTTCTTACTCTCTTTCTAGTTTCATTCCTACGTTCGTTCACTTATTCTTTCTTTCGTCCTTTTTCTTTCTTTCTATTTCCTCTTTCGTTCATTTCTCCTTTAGTTCGTCTTTTTTCTTTCTTCCTTTTTTTTCTTTCTTTTGTTCATTTCTCTTTTGTTTTTGTTTTTTCTTTATCTCTTTATTTCTTTGTTTCTTTCCCTCTTTCATTCATTTCTCCTTTGTTTCTTTCTTTCTGTCTCTCTTTCTGTCTTTCCTTCTTCCTTCTTTCGTTCATGTCTCCTTTGTTTCTTTCTTTCTGTCTCTCTTTCTGTCTTTCCTTCTTCCTTCTTTCGTTCATGTCTCCTTTGTTTCTTTCTTTCTATCTCTTTTCTCATCTTTTTCCCCTTCCCTCTCTCCCTCTCACCCTTTCTGCCACACACTTTCATCCATCTCCTCTTCTTTCTTCCCTTCTCCCTCTCCATTATCCATCCCCTCTCTCTCCCATTCCCTCCTTTTCTCCCTACCTCTTCCCCTACCCTACCTACCTTATTTCATCCCTCCTCTCCTTCCCTATTAATGTTTTTTCCTCTCCTTCCTTCATCCCTTTTCCTTCCCTCCTTCCCTCTTCCGTATCCCTCTTTTCCTTTTCTCCCTCCCTCCTCATTATCCGCCTCATCTTTTCCCCACTCCCTCTTCCTTATCTTCCCTCTTCCCTATCTTCCCTCTTCCCTATCCTCCTTCTTCCCTATCCTATCTCTTTCCTTCCCTCCCTCCACCCACACCCTCTCCCTCTCACCCACCCCCTCTCCCTCTCCCCCACACCTTTCCCTCTCACCCAAACCCTCTCCCTCTCATCCACATCCTTCCCTCTCACCCACACCCTCTCCCTCTCACCCACACCCTCTCCCTCTCCCCCACACCTTTCCCTCTCACCCACCCCCTCTCCCTCTCCCCCACACCCTCTCCCTCTCACCCACATCCTTCCCTCTCACCCACACCCTCTCCCTCTCACCCACACCCTCTCCCTCTCCCCCACACCTTTCCCTCTCACCCACCCCCTCTCCCTCTCACCCACACCCTCTCCCTCTCCCCCACACCTTTCCCTCTCACCCACCCCCTCTCCCTCTCCCCCACACCCTCTCCCTCTCCCCCACAACCCTCTCCCTCTCCCCCCACACCCTCTCCCTCTCACCCTTCCCTCTCACCCACACCCTTCTCTCTCCCTCTCACCCACACCTTTCCCTCTCCCCCATACCCTTTCCCTCTCACCCACACCCTATCCCTCTCACCCTCTCCCTCTCACCCACACGCTTTCCCTCTCCCCCACACCTTTCCCTCTCACCCACACCCTCTCCCTTTCCCCCACACCCTCTCCCTCTCCCCCACACCTTTCCCTCTCCCCCACACCCTCTCCCTCTCACCCACACCCTCTCCCTCTCACCCATACCCTTTCCAATTCACCCATACCCTCTCCCTCTCCCCCACACGCTTTCCCTCTCCCCCATACCCTCTCCCTCTCCCTCTTCCCCACACCCTCTCCCTCTCCCCCACACCCTTTCCAATTCACCCACACCTCTCCCTCTCACCCATACCCTTTCCAATTCACCCACACCCTCTCCCTCTCCCCCACACCTTTCCCTCTCCCCCACACCCTCTCCCTCTCCCCCACACCCTCTCCCTCTCACCCATACCCTTCCTTCCATGTAATCTAGCTGTCCCCCACGCACCCCATTTCCAAAGCGTAACTTCTTCGGCGTTTCAGCGTGTGTCGAGTGCGTCTCGGCTACGTCTCAGACACGCTGGGAAGTTATAAACACTCATTTGCATCCGGGATCTCGTTTCCTCTTTCTTGCAGGGGTGGGGGAAGGGGGTGGGGGGTGGAAGGAGGGGTGTCGAGGGAGAGAGGGGAGGGGGGAAGGGGGAGGGGGGAGGGGGTCTTTCTTCTTCTTGTGTTTTGGGGGTGATTTGCGTGTCTGGTTTGTTTGTTTGAGTGTGTGTTTGTGTTTGTTTCTGAGTGTGTGTGTTTGTGTGTGTATGTATTTTTGTCGGTGTGTTTGTGTGTGTATGTTTTTTTGTCGGTGTGTTTGTGTGTGTGTGTGTGTCTGTTTGGTTGAGTGTGCGTTTTAGTATTTTTGTGTGTGAGAGAAAGGATAGAGAATCGTACGTATAGAGTGAAATGCAGTAATAAGAAAAAAATAATAATACGGGGAATTTAAGAAGACATAAGAAATCACAAGATGAAGTTAAAAAAGAAAAAAAAAATCACACGCTCTCCATATTTTTTTTCGTTCGAACTACCCCTCTTTTTCATCAATCTATCCCTCTCCCTTTCTTTATCTTTGTCTTCCCT